TGGTAGATCCGTGTGTAACGACGACTGTGATTGGATCACACCGAGGTGCGCGATGGACCGTCTGGTGCGATTAATGCTGGCTTTACACCTTGTCGTACCCAGCACGGAACCCGATTAGAATCTTAGGCTAAAGTAGGTTCGATAATTTATTGTAACAAATGTTTGGTAAGTAGAAATAGTAGAAATCTTTAAAAATCTAGGTAAGTTATTGAAGGATTTGGAGTAAATTAGTAAAAAGTTTGTTTATTAAAAGGGGGCGATGCGGTATGTGTGTGTGGGGGGGGGGGGGGGGGTCACACCCGGTAATCCTACCTAGTGACGCCACCAGCAGTGTTTCTTCCAGACACTTTTCTCCGGGTGTGGAGGGGGGGGGGGGGTGCTGACTTAAAAAAAAACGTGGGGAGGGGGGGGGCGACGATAAACTCCGTTTCAAGTATATATTATCCATATAAATTATATTTTTTTCAATATCTTTCGAGAGGTGGGGTGGGGAATAGGGGGGGGGGGTCTAATCTCCCGAAGAGATGCCCGAAAGAAACATTGGACGCCACTGTACCAAACTAAAAACAAAACCAACAACAAAACATGGGGCTCCAGTTGATTTAAAAACCAAGTGTTAGCAACCTAACTGTAATTAGAACGAGTGGTCGTTTTTTTTATAAACTTCGATAATAATTTAAAACTAACTGGGTATGCGCAGGGAATATCATGCCATACACGGAAACATTCAGCAATATTGTAAAAATAGTTCAAGAAATCTAAAGAAAATGCCGCTATGATATTTGGTACAGTGTTTCTTCCAGACTTTTTTCTCCGGGGGGGGGGGGGGGGGAGGTGGGGGTGGGGGCGGACACTGTTAAAAGTATATATTTTCTATATAAATTTCATTCCGTTCGGGGGGGGGGGGGGGTAGACTTTTTTCGGGGTAGCTCCCCCCCCTCCCGAAGAGATGCCTGGAAGAAACTCTGATTTGGTATGTGTAGGCATAAACAATAAATGATGAGATCATTTACCTCTGGTTTCTATCTCACCTTGTTTCCATGCAGTCTCAATATGCTCTCGGAATTATATAAAATATTCATGCCATTGTAACAATAGAGGTTGAGCACATTTCAATGTTTGTTTTCGTACCCCTTTAGAAGGCTAACGTTGTAAATGTAATTTCAGGGAATATATCCTCTAATACATTATAATTTCAGGGACTATAGCCCTTTAATACATTATAATTTCAGGGAATATATCCTCTAATTAAAAATGTAATTCAAAATAATGATCTTTAAACGACAGGACTGCGTGAGGGAAAGTCAAGACGGCTTCATGTGTCGAGTTCAGGAATCATAGGAACTCTATTTCATCTGCATAATCGATCGTTCTGTCAAAAGTAGAATCTTTATTTTTTTTTTTTTAAAATGCCTCACTAACAGAGAAAACAATTTTTTTTAAAATCCTTCCATTAAAATATTTTGTCAAGTAAAATAACCCTTGCTAAGACTTGTTGCACTAGCCTCCCTTAGTTATTATTGTCTTACTAATATTCGTACTGACGGAGACGGTTGGGCGAGCCATTTTAAAATGTTAATTTCCGGATTGAGAAGAAGTGTTTGTGTCAGATGTTTTGATTGGATACTTCTGCGCGAGGCATCTTTTGTTTTGTTTCACTAAAAATAATTTCTGATTGTGTTTTTTTTTCTTCTGGTGAAAACACGACTCGCGTGTGGGAAAGGTCATCGTGATCAAATGTGACCTGGGCTAATCAGTACGGTCACGTGGCTGTTGACCTTTTGCTGCGCCATCTTGTCGTATGACGTAACTCGCCGTCTGAGTATGTAAAACACGGCTCGTCAAACTTGATGTTTACAGCCCTCGACAGTCAGTAAAAACTTGATGTTTACAGCTATCCACACGAGTCAGTAAAAATTTGATGTTTACAGCCCTCGATATAGTCAGTAAAAATTTGATGTTTACAGTCCTTGATAGGAGTCAGAAAAAACTTGGCGTGTACAAATCTTGAGACGTCAATACAAATTTGATGTTTACAGTTCTCGACACGAGTCAGTAAAAATATGATGTTTACAGCCCTCGATGGGAGTCAGAACAAACTTGATACAAATTTGATGTTTACAGTTCTCGACGCGAGTCAGTAAAAATGTGATGTTTCCAGCTCTCGACAACAGTAGGCTTCTAATTCACTTCACGCTTCACTTGTCATCAGGTCAAGTTTCACTATCAACTATCACAGGAAGAAACATGGAACTCTAGTTCTAGTAGCCTTATGGTAGCCCCACCAAACCTAGGAAGAAACATGGAACTCTAGTTCTAGTAGCCTTATGGTAGGCCCACCGATGGCCCACCAAACCTAGAAAGAAACATTGAACTCTAGTTCTAGTAGCCTTATGGTAGCCCCACCAAACCTAGAAAGAAACATTGAACTCTAGTTCTAGTAGCCTTATGGTAGCCCCACCAAACCTAGGAAGAAACATTGAACTCTAGTTCTAGTAGTCTTATGGTAGTCCCACCTAACCTAGGAAGAAACATTGAACTCTAGTTCTAGTAGCCTTATGGTAGCACCACCTAACCTAGGAAGAAACATTGAACTCTAGTTCTAGTAGCCTTATGGTAGGCCCACCGATAGCCTAGATGGTAGGCGGCTTTTATAGATTTTAAACAATTCTAGGAACAGAGAGAAAGAGAGAGAGAGAGAGAGAGCGAGAGAAAGATAAATAGAAAGAAAGAGAGAGAGAGATAGACAGAAAGAGAAAGAGGGAGAGAGGTGAGAAATTAAAGGAGAGGAGCCAGAAAAAGTGTGGGTTGGGTGTAGGGGTGGGAGTGTGTGAACATTTTAAAAAATCGGATTTGTTTAATTAAAGAAGTTTCAGCTTTCGCGCAACTTTTTTTTGAATGTTTGGTAAATTAATGAGAAACCACCCTTAAAAAAGCATGTAGTGATTTAATTAACTCACTTTTTTCAAATGTCGATTTAGCACCCCAAAATCTCATGGGTTTCAAGTTCACAGAAACAGAGCTACATCTTCTCAGCAGGGGTTGCTGTTAGAATTCCGTGACGCTTATATACAATCTTTTAGCATACATAACAATCCCATGGAAAGTTCTGGACATAAGCCTTTAAGGGCGTCTCCAGCATACACAAGAAGATAAGGGAGGGGGGTAGCGCACCCCTCATAAATGATTTTAAACTAAGCAACACGAAAGAAGATTGGATGGTTCAGTGATAGAGCTTGCAGTTTTAAAGACTGAGATCCCAATTTCGAATTCCATGAGTAAGTCTTTACTTGTATGTATAGGGTTAATACTAATTGAAATAACGCACGGGTCTAAATGACTACATACTGAAATAATGGAATGGTCAAAGTGATTTACCATTTATATTGAGAGCGATAACGATTGCTCAGTAACGACTCTAAACGATGTTTAGCGTCATGAACAAATCAACACGATTAAAAGAGTCAGTACCGTGTCATCGATGACTAGCGTCAGGCGTCAGTAGCGAGTCAGAACGAAGAGTAGCGCCATTAAGGAATCAACGACCCCAGAATAGACAGCTACAGCAATACACAACAATAGTTACAGCGGGAGACAAACAAGAAATCAATAAGAGATTTGGTTACAGAGAGTATCTTTCGTCACGTGACTAGCCTTTTGGCTCGGAGGCTAAGCGATGTCTTCTGATTACACTGAAATACGTAAGTGTGTATGCGTGTGTGTGTGTGTGTGTACATACGTGTATGTGTGTGTGTACATGTGCGTATGTGGGTGTGTGTGCGTGCTTGCGTGTGTGTGTGTGTGTACATACGTGTATGTGTGTGTGTACATGCGCGTATGTGGGTGTGTGTGAGTGCAGACAGGCGGGTCGCTGGTAACTCAGAGGGGATAAGACGAGCAGAAAGGACCGGAAATAGATCTCTAAGGAAGGATTAGCGGGATTTAGATCTCCGATGCTATAGGAGTTTTTTTTGGTCTCTCAATTCTGTGGGCGATTATTGCACGCCGTTATGGGACTGAATTAAAGACATTGAGATGTCATACACCGTGCAACCACACACACAAACACACACACACACACACACACACACACAAACACACAGACACACACACACACACACACACACACATATATATATATATATATATATATATATATATATATATATATATATATATATATATATATATATATATATATATATATATATATATATATATATATATATATATATATATATATGTTTATTTATATTTGTATATATTGTCTCGAAGACCAACGCAGTATGTCCAAAATATAAAATTTTATTTCCATATAAAAACAGGCAAAGTTTTATATTGGAACGTTTAAAAAACACTATTATTCACGTTTTCTGACATTTTACATGACAATGTGTGCTCTGGTAGCTTGTATTATTGTAAATGTATGTATAGATGTACACTGATTTTAAAATAAACGTGGAAATACTACATTTGGCTTGTGTATGGTTTTGTACATACAAACACTCATATATAGAGGGCTGCAACCACACATTTCCAGCGCACTCGGTTTTGGGCTGTTCCCTTAATCTGTGCCCACTTTCTTCATATATATATATATATATATATATATATATATATATATATATATATATATATATATATATATATATATATATATATATATATATATGTGTGTGTGTGTGTGTCTGTGTGTCTGTGTGTAAAATGTTCATGTGTCACACAATTTTAAATAATTTTTAGATTTTAAACCAAATACTAAAGTAGGCCTACTTGCTAATATTAATAGCTTTTGTAATAAATTATGTAAATTTCTAAATTTATTACAGACCAACAGATTTTGTTCTAACAGATTCAGGTCTACCTTCACTGTAAAATGCATCAACATTAAACATATTACCTGATGCATCATTCATACTACATTAAAAAACCCTGATGAACTGTAGTATAAATTGGGTAACATACATACATACATGCATACATATATATAAATATCTTACCGGTTGTCCAGATGTCACTCGAGGTCTATGACCGGGAATTTCCAAAATAAAAATATTTCGCATCACGAAAGGAAGCCATTGTAAAATTACATCCAGGAGAGATAACTCTTACATAACGACAAAACTTTTTTTTTTCAAACTGAAGTGGTCATCCAGGTTAGCCGGACACAAGTGGAACATAATCCAAGAAACGCATCCATTATCCACGAAGGCACGATCAGAATGAACGCGGACACGCGTTGTGTTGACGGGCGGGGATCCGGCTGATTTTTACTGCATCTTTTTCTCTCGCTCCCCGTACGTTCGCGCTTACCTTGCTGGGCGCGCGTGAGCAGTGCCTGACGGTGCATGAGTTCAGGCACGTGACTTGGTGGGGGGGGGGAGGACGGTGTTTTAAGATGAGTGGACGGGAGGGTCGGGTGATGGACATATCCCGTGGGGGTCGGGAAAGAAAGTAGGGGGTGGGGGTGTAAATGGATTGTGTCGATAGGAGTTTGTAGTAGGTGTTAAAGGAGATGAGGGGTCGGTTTAAGACAGTCTGTGATGTCTTTAAGACAGTCTGTGATGTCTTTAAGACAGTATGTGATGTCTTCAAGACAGTCTGTGATGTCTTTAAGACAGTCTGTGGTGTCTTTAAGACAGTCTGTGATGTCTCTAAGACAGTCTGTGATTCTTGTCTCTGCTACCTCTACTTATATACATGTTCTGTCAAGATGTTATACATTGATTCATAACCGTCTGTTTTGTAAAACACAACACATTTTCTGTAACATTAGCAAATATGAAAAAAATATACATTTGAAAGTAAAAAAGTTATTTGAATTGGTAGTAGGAGCAACCTTTACATAGGTAAACAAGTGAATTTGAAAAGAAATATATTTCGGAAAATAAATTGATGGTGGTAATGAACTTTTTCGAGGCGGTAAAGACAAAAATCAAAATTATGATAAGAAAGAGATAAATTAAGACACAGCAGACTTTGTAGTATAAGCAATTTCCTGTATCTCGGTGTTTGTTTTATGAGATTATTTTAGCACATACAAAATACCCATTAAATGCCATCATAACAAATGAACAGTTAGACATATTTCATTTTGTAACTCATTTTGTTCATGCTGTTTCTAATTAAATTTCTCGACATTTCAGACTCATAATTCAAATTATATATTTTTTTCTTTTTGAAAGACGTTTTTGAAACTTTGACTTAATTTTACCTTCCCGTGTAGTAAGTATGAAAATAAAATTATGGTGTGTTTTATGTCAGGTTGAATTATAAATCCAGCAGAGGGTTCAACATCAGACGTGAGCCGACACATGTATGATGCATACATTTGACGTCTGCTTCAAGAACCACATCCTCTTCTCTTTTCCCGTTTATGCCTTAAACACACAGGACAGGTGAAGTAGAGTTCATCATGTTGATAGTGTGGTCAACGCTAGGACCAGCCACCTTGATTTCCTTAACGTGAGTCCACCCAGCTTAGATGGATATCTAAGCTGGGTGGACTCAGGGACATTCTACAGACTCTAGCCTGGGATCCGACCTCGAGACTTTGAGCGCTACCTTCTGACCACACCGTCCATGACCCACTTGACTGATAATTTCAAACACTTTATGAAATGTGAGTATTCGTCGAATAAAAAAGATATTTGTGCTAAATACAAAAATCGTTGTTTGCCCTAGACGCACCAAAGCAGAAAAAAGGATGAGGGGTCTTTTGACTCAGTAATAAAAATTTAAATATAAGAAAATGATATTTTTAAATGGGAGGGGGGGGGGGGGGGAGGGGGGGGGGCGTTCCCTATTCCTCGAATTACTCGAACGATTAAAAAAGTAATTTACTTTAAAAAATGCTTGAACTTAAATGTCGTGACGAGCTTTTGAAAAAAGGAGTCGATATTATTTGTTAACATTTTGTTAAGTTCCAGTGTTGAAGTAGGAGGTTGAAATGGCGGGGGGGGGGGGGACAGATATGATAACAAAAGAATAGAACTGTGCATAATCAATTAAACTTCAACGTCATTTAAACATCGGCTGAGCATTTTCTTAAGCAAAACTACTCACTGTCTCGCGTGCGTTCATAGCGGTCGTCCTTCACCTCAAAGTCTGGTAAGGTGAAGGTTAAAACTGACTAAAACAAGAGAATAAATTTCAAAGTTGAAAACTGCGTGCTAGCAAATCTTCGAAAATCGCCGGTGTAACTTGTGAGAAGAGTTTCGATTTGGTATCGAGATGGTAGCGAGGGCGTTAAACCGAAACGTTAATCTGAGGACGTTAAACTCGGGACGTTAAACTGTGTACGTCCAGGGTTAAACAGATAAATCTGCTGGAGTTGGCCGCCATTTTGTTTGAGAAGTGGGGCGATAGCGTGAGAAACTTCCGGAAGTGAGCACCATAAGTTCTCGCGCGCCTGGGGAAAAGAATGGTATCGACCTTGGGGGAAGAATGGTATCGACCTTGGGGGAAAAATGGTATCGACCTTGGGGGAAGAATGGTATCGACCTTGGTGGAAGAATGGTATCGACCTTGGTGGAAGAATGGTATCGACCTTGGTGGAAGAATGGTATCGACCTTGGTACAAGAATGGTATCGACCTTGGTAGAAGAATGGTATCGACCTTGGTAGAAGAATGGTATCGACCTCATTTTGACCACGGTATCGAATATTTTTAGATGGTATCGATATGTTTGAATATAAACATTCGATTACGAATACCGATTTTAAATTTACTATAGATTTTTAAATATTGCTAGTTCAAATTTTTTCAAAATAGGAACATAGGCTTGGTGTAGCTTAATGGCTTTGGTATTCTGATTTAATGTTTCTGTGTAGAGTTTATGTTTGAGTGAGTTTCTGCTAAATATATGTTGAGATTTCAATAAAATTGTTTACTGTGTGGGTTGTCTAATCAAATTGTACGTCTAATGATTCGTCAGTAGCAGCTATGAGCAGTAGAGTAGACGTGTGTGTTCCTTATTAATACAGGTGTAGTTAGTTCCACGATGATTTAACAATAAAGCTCACTTAGGTGGTCAGGTCTGATGAGACAGGTAACTACAAGGTGTAAGGTGTGTTGTTGTGTTTTGTCTGCTTTTATAATGAATGTGTAGGGTGTATTGCTGTGTTTTGTTACGGAATATTAATGTAGGGTGTTTTGCGTTTTGTCTGCTATTATAATGGATGTGTCTGGTCTGTTGTTTTACGATATGTTTATGGTCTAATGTAAACAAAGTCTGGTCTGTTATAAAAATATCTGGTCTGTTTTCCAAAAGTCTGGTCGCTGGTCTGCTCTAAATCTTGCCAGACATTCTTTTACTACAATGTCTGGTGTAAAAATGTCTGCTCTGTCGTGAAACAAATGTCTTGTTTTTGGTGTCAAAAATGTCTGGTCTGCCGAGAATCACCAGTTGTCCATATTCTGCTTTCAACAACACTGACTTGGCACAATAAAACAACCAGAAATATTTACCCCCCCCCCCCCCACCCCCACCCCACCCCTCCCCCCTACCCGTGGATCCGTAAGGTCGGCAGGGAAAACGGAATGTTACTTCCAGCTGACCAGTTCTCTGGTTTCAGTACCGGACCTCGGCACGGCTGGAATGGCCAGATGTTTTGGTTGGCACCAGGGTCCAAGAAATGCTGCCACGTCGATATTTCTCATCTCCGAACAGACTTTGGCTTTCGTCAAGCGGTGGCGGAACATTGGAGAGCTTGAAATTAGGTTAACGTTTTTTTTTTTTTTAAATAAATCTTAACATAAATATCTGTTAAAAGATACCCAGTATGTCGCTTATAATGGGATCGTGTCCATGGTTTTCTTAGCAGAAGTAATTAATTTATTGCCTGGCACGACTAATTAGTTTTTTTTTTTTCATTTTTAAAAAAAAATTCCGCGTCGAAAGATTTGTAGAGTAAAAATATTTTGTGTTATGTTTCGGCGTGGAAGTACGGGAAGCGTTATTTTTGCTAGTATCTTCGTTGTAAGTATAACCTTGTTCCAATTTTAGCTCTAACTCTAACTCTTTTTCTAACCCTAAAACTGAACTTAATCTCGACCCTGACAGTAATACTGAAAGAATAAATAAAACACTTCATCTGATGCTAGTACGTTCTTTGTATTTTTTTTTCTGTACATGTTTTAGTTTCTACTCGGTTTATTCTAAAAATATTTAAAAAATAAAGAAAATAAATTTTGTTACAAGGTCACCGTCTTGCAAACAAGGCCACAGGAATAGTGAAAGAGCCTCACGCGGCCCATGAGCCGTCAAACAAACACAACCCAGCGAAGATCTGGTCTATCTCATCTGAGCCAATTATCAAATCTTTAGCATGTTTAATCTGCTATAGTGAGACATTGGTCACCGATATTCGATGAAAGATCGAACTAGTCGAAGGAATGACTCGAAACACATTTGAAGCAGCTGTTTTGTTAGAAGATGGTTGGGATGTGTATGTGTGTGTGTGTGTGTGAGAGAGAGAGACAGTGTGTGTGTGTGTAGCATAATGTGTGGGATGTGTGTGCGTGTGGCTTGGTGTGTGTGTGGCTTGATGTGTAACGGTGTGTGTGTGTGACTGGGTGTGTGGGATGTGTGTGTGTGGCTTGGTGTGTGGGATGTGTGTGTGGCTTGGTGTGTGGGATGTGTGTGTGGCTTGGTGTGTGGAATGTATGTGTGTGTGTGGCTGGATGTGTGGGGTGTGTATGTGGCTTGGTGTGTGTGTGGCTTGATGTGTAGAATGTATGTGTGTGTGTGGTTGGATGTGTGGGGTGTGTATGTGGATGTGGATGGTTGGTTAAATGCTGATATAATCAATGAAGATGCAGTCGAAAAGGGTGTAATAGGAATTAATCTAGTTTTGCATGATGATTTGTCGTCCAAAAAAGCTAAATTTACCCCCACTTTTTGCGGTATGTTCTATAACAAATACACCACGAAGAAGGTCTTACACATCGAGTCCTAGTAAAAGATGGGTGTAAAAACATCAAGTCGGGGGGGGGGGGCTGAAAGAATAGTTTGATTGACGTTTGGCAATATATTATCACTATTAAACTGAAGGGTGGATCTGAGTAAAAAGTTGAAAGGGTCGACTTTTAATAACGCATGTTCGACCCACTGTGCTTCGGGATACGAACAGCGATTCAGGAAACGAATAAAACAGAAGTCCCGAAAAAACAAAACAAACTGTAAGTCGAATTAACA